TGGGGCGTTATAATGTGACGGTCAATCCCACTATTCGTTGGTAAAATAGTAGCCCTAGAGTTGGCGGTGGGTGGTGATGACTAGCTGCCTTCCCTCTAGTCTTACACTGCTAAATTAGGGACGGCTAGCGCAGATAGCCCTCGTGTAGCTTTGCGCGAAATTCAAAAAACAAAACAAAACAAACATACACTTCAGAGCAGACCCTTGACTAAAATGACAACATTAGGTTTATTCTTCTTTTTATTAATTCAAAATATTCAACTCTAAAATCAGAAGCTTAAAACCATTAAGTTAATTTGTTTGGACGTTGTTAAGACACTTATTTTTATGACAAACAAATATGTTTGTTTGTTTCTTTTGGTTATCTACTCTGTTCACCGCGGAGAATCGAAAAAAGGAGTTTTGCGTTGTAAGTCTCTAAACTTACATCTGTCCCACCAAGGGACCGAAAAATATATATATATATATATAAATCTATAGGCAAGAAATGTATTAATATTTGACATTTTTAGTTTTTCTTTCTTATAACTTTTACAGATGATGACAAATACTTTTACTGATATTCAATAAGTACTGCTTAGGTTAATAAGTAAAATTCAACAACATTTGCAGACAAGTTTCTACACCATACGTTCACATACAACAAGAAAATAAAAAACAACATAGAATAAAAAACTGTCATAGCGTTTTAATCTTTTTAATCCCCCACCACAACCACTGGTAGCGATAAGCCTGAATGCTTGTTACATTAAAAATCGGAGCACGATTCCAACATTTATAACGGCACAGATAGACCATTGTGTAATCTTGCGTTTAACAATAAACAAACTATCTCGAATTTAAAAGACGTTTACTAAACTATTTGTGTACGTCAAGTGACAAGGATAGCATGTTCGATATAAGCAGTTTTCTGACGTTGTTTTGGTGAAGTGGCTAATCTTTTATATGTTCTAAAATAATACCTGATATTTTGAGTGCTATTATCATTTATTATTTTGTACATGTCTTAGTATTTTAGGCTATCGCTCATCTTTGACGTTGTGTCTGTTCTAGTTATTCTTTAGTATTACTTTTATCGTTATCCTCTTTTTTCAGTAACGATCTGTGCAGTTTACCTTCAAGATACAAATCTGAGGTCTTATGCTTGACGTCACAAGAACACCGTGTTTCATTCAACGCCGCCATATTGGACGTCGAACATTTCCTTCTAGCAGTCCATATCAATACAAGCGGTTCGACAATGCTTTAGGCGCTGGCAATGGTCAAAACATCGACTTTGGCAAATTATCTGGTTTAAAAAAATTATAGCTGCTCTCAGTTTCTCGAAAAATCTTTCTTTATGCACATTGCTGGAAAGATTTACAGGGTTACATAATATAATATTAAAAAACAATTTTTACCTATTCAACTAAGACGAATGTAAGCATTTGACGTCCAATATGGCGGAGTAAACTATAGACCACGTGACTCTTTGACGCCATGCGCTCTCTTCTTTTTAGTGTTAATTTTTAAACAAGTGTGTGTGTATGTTTGTGTATAAAGTAGTATAATTAAACTGCGGAAAGTTTTATATTGGTGACAACCCGATGGAATTATCAATCAGTTTGTCATTCGATTGAAAAAAAAGAAACACTTGAATATAGTATTTTTGAAAGTAATTCTCACATCATCCTCCATGAAAAACGATGCTTATTGGTTAACATTTTAGTTCGATTGTTAATAAATCACTACAGTTAGGATTACAGTTGATTAGGAAGTTGGGTTCGATAAACAGGATTGATCCAAATGTTGAACTTCGATACCATCCATTCTCAATATGGTGAGTAAAAACAAAACATAAGGTAACGCTGTAATTAAAGATTGTTCCTAAACGTGCTGCCTACATGAAAAATACCTTAAGTAAAATTGATAATAATTACAATTCACGAATATAATTTAGTTCACACCATAACAGTTGATGACATAAATAGCGCTTAGACCACTACTATGTTTGTCGTATCTCAGCCGGCCTGAAGAGCCTTGGTATTGAGCGAAAGGCCTTGTCGGCGCTGAATATAGCAGATGTATTATGGTTAATATATATTTTCCTTTCACTCGTAAGTTTTTAGAATTACTAACAACTCTATGTACATACGTATGTGTATAATTTGTTATCGTTGTTATTTGCTGTTTTTCTGGAACAGGTAATGAAGGGCCCAAGGTTAGAAATCCACGACTAAACTTAATGGAGGTTTTAGATGGTAGTTTGATACCTAGGAGGTTTAACGGCACCTGGATATCAGGTAAGGGCATTTTGAAAATTTAAATATCTATTAAATAAGCTCCATTCAATAAGTATATTATTAGTATAATAAGTATAATATTAAAGTATATCAAAAATATATTTATTAAACAAAGTACTGAGTTCTAAATTTTGTACAACCGATAGAATACATATACAAAATGGATCATCATTCTTAAACTTAAATAACCTGTAACCTTAATAGGCATTTGTATTTTGATTCTGAATACGACCTAATGCGCACATAGTGTAAACGTCAAGGTCAGATAACCCGTGGTTCGAGCATAACCATCTCTAATTTTGAACTGCTAATCACAGACAGTCGGCAGCCTTCGCCACTTATACAGCTACTTTTAATCGAATAACGGTATTGACTGTCATAGGTATAACTCCTCCTCCCCCATAGACGAAAGTGTGCTGCGGTCAATCGTGTCTCGAACATTGGACCCTCATTACCACGCTCAGCTCAAGAGTTTGAAAGGAAAATTGTTTGTTTGTTTGTTACGGATTTCGCGCAAAGCTACACGAGGGCTATCTGCGCTAGCCGTCCCTAATTTAGGAGTGTAAGACTAGAGAGAAAGCAGCTAGTCATCACCACCCACCGCCAACTCTTGGGCTACTCTTTTACCAACGAATAGTGGGATTGACCGTCAGATTATAACGCCCCCACGGCTGAAAGGGCGAGCATGTTTGGTGTGACGGGGATTCGAGCCTGCGACCCTCAGATTGCGAGTCGAGCGCCATAACCACCTGGTCATGCCGGGCAAGGAAAATTGTAAACAAATCACTTGAATAAACCAAAGATTCGAATCTTTTTTGTTGGTCTGACAAGCCTGTTATGAAATGCAAGTCTTACGTTGAGTTTACAACAAAATAAAACATAAAATAAATTTGTCGTTATTTTACCAGATGCATAATTTTCTACTTAATTTTATCATATTTCCAAATAATATCAAGTTAAACAGTTCTTTACGTTCACTCGAGTTCCAATTTCTAGAACCGAATTTACTCTTTGAATAGATTTTTGTGTTTCACTATATCCAATGTTAATATATGGTATTTTCAAACACAACGGAACCTTATCAGACGCATGGGCTTATTAAACGGCCATGTTAGAAACACCACGGTTCAAACGCAGTCGTCTCTAACTTAGAACTGTTGATCAAAGGAAGGACAACTAGCCAGCAATATCCGTCGCTTATACAGCTAAATTTAAACAAATAATGAGATTGACTGTCACTTTTATAATGTGTCCTCAGCTGAAAGTGCGAAATGTGTTCAAAAAGCATATCGCGGGCTCGAACCTTGGACCTCCCTGTACGCAGCTTGGCACGCTAAACTTTAGGCAGCGCCCAGTCTAATAGATGTTAGAAACTTTAAGGTACATTCTAAGAAGTTTACAAAGGCTTCTTTGTTTTTCTTAAATGTTTCGTTACAGAACAATTGTTTTGGAAGTAATTGGATTATCTAAATTAGTCACTGATATATCTTACTATTTTACTTGTAAAGCGGAGTAATGCTGGTGAATTGAATTATCATAAATAGTTTCTAGCTAAGTGTACTTACAATGATTCATTCATGTTGCAGTAACTAAGTGATATTTTTATGTTTAATTGTTTCAGAAAAAGAACTTATTTACCGAGATTTTGATGGAACTCTTATTTTGTACAACGCCGAAACGTTAAATAAAACAGTACTCATGTTAAACACGGCATTTGTAAGTAGTTTTTCTAATTGTTTTTGTTTTCATCTTCTGAGTTGATCCTCGAAATGAACCACATTTAATCTGAATTATCCTAAAATATGAACAAAACTTCGACCACTCTTCTTAAACACTGGTTGACCTACTAAGTGTCTAACATACCGAATCTGATTAATTCACATTTTTCTGTGCTTACAAAGCACTGATATTTTCTACTGGATTCGTGAGTTTAAAACCTATATAAAAGACTTTACAGAAACAATGAATGTTTTGTGCTAAAAAATATGTTATTTTGTACCGGATTCGTGTATTTAGAATATTAGAGGTTAGATATACTTCCCACTAACGTATCTCTGTATAACTATAAAATAATCAAAGGCAGAATTTTACTGATTAATCCACCCACCTATACATATAGGTTTCTTTCATTCAGAAGAAGGAGGGTTGATAGTGTGCTGGAGCCCTGGATTTCGGAGCTGGCGAACCGGATTCGAATTTGTGCGATACCACACAGCACCTTAAACTGTGGGTGCGTTATAAGGGCGATATTCAATGCTGTAGGGCAATGTTAGAATGTTGTCGGCTGGCTGCAGTTTTCTCTGGTCGGGAGTTTGTTCGTTTGTAATTAAGCACAAAGCTACAGAATGGACTATCTGTGCTGTGCCCACCACGGGTGTCGAAACCCGGTTTCTGGCGTTGTAAGTTCACAGACATGCCGCTGTGCCACTGGGGGGCGGTCGTTAGTTCAAAATCAGGGACATCCTCAGATATTCTTATTAGTTTTACTATAAATCCATACAAGTTAATTCAGAAAGTGTTTGAAGATAGCCTTCTTCTCTGATCAATTTTTATGAAATTTATTTTTTCATCAAAATTTAATCCTATTATCTCACAATCAAGAAATATACCCCTTGTGTAGCTTTGCGGGAAAATCCGAAACAAACCAATCTTACCTTTTTCCTAGACTCTTTATTTGATCTGCAGTGGCTATATTATCTTAACTTCATATTACTTCAATGGTTATCTTGCCACAGTCTTGTTACTGGAATTCGATTCTAGAATCGTCGTTATAAACTTGTTAATTCCGCAAATCATACAACTGGTTGTGAAATTTAATTGGGAAAATTCCCGCTATTAGATAGAAGTACTTTAATCAATAAGTCGTAGTGCCATCTATTGGAATAAACTGAAAAAAACGCTCTTCTAGAACATTGTGGTGATATACTCTCATTGACAAATCAATTAAATACCGAATGTGAAAAAAAATACTTTATTATATAAAATCTAAATTTAATTTCAAAATACTACTAAACTCCGCGGATTGATACAAAAAAAAATTTGTTTTTATTAAATCGTTGTCATAATACTGTAAAATAGTAACTTTTTATAATATATATATATAAAACAAATATATAACTTAGACTAATAGTGCTCTAAAAGGTCTGGGCTATAATTGTAACCTACACGCAATATTAGCTTAAAAACTGTATTATATTTAAAATTTATAAATAATAGTGCTTCAAATTATACTTCCAAAATGTTTTTTTTTTTCCTTTCGCAGAGACTCTACGATGTCCATAGCTATAGTTTGTCAGCTGATAGAAAATATGTCTTACTTGCTTATGCTATTAGAAAGGTAAGTGTCCTTTTGCAGTTAGAAAGGTAAGTATATTTATACTATAAGAGAGGTAAGTGTATTTATACTATAAGAAAGGTAAGTGTACTTACAGTATAAGAGAGGTAAGTATATTTATACTATAAGAAAGGTAAGTGTACTTACACTATAAAAAAGGTAAGTATATTTATACTATAAGAGAGGTAAGTGTATTTATACTATAAGAAAGGTAAGTGTACTTACAGTATAAGAGAGGTAAGTATATTTATACTATAAGAAAGGTAAGTGTCCTTTTGCAGTTAGAAAGGTAAGTGTACTTACACTACAAGAAAGGTAAGTGTCCTTTTGCAGTTAGAAAGGTAAGTGTACTTACACTACAAGAAAGGTAAGTGTATTTATACTATAAGAGAGGTAAGTGTATTTATACTATAAGAGAGGTAAGTGTATTTATACTATAAGAAAGGTAAGTGTATTTATACAGCTAGAAAGGTAAGTGTAACAGTATTATGGTCATTATCACCTTAAGCTGAATAAAAACATATTTTTATGGAAGAACATTTATAACTATTTAACTTCTAAGCCTGTTTGCTATGGACGTTATCGTAATCTTCAATGTTCCCTTAAGTTGTACTATTTGTGACGATTGTAGTAAGTTCAGATGTACTTCAAGTTATACTATTTGTGATGATAGTAGTAAGTTCTGATATAATTCAAGTTATACTATTTGTGCGATAGTAGTAGGCTGTGATATAATTCAAGTTATACTATTTGTGCGATAGTAGTAAGCTGTGATATAATTCAAGTTATACTATTTGTGACGATTGTAGTAAGCTGTGATATAATTGAAGTTATACTATTTGTGACGATTGTAGTAAGCTGTGATATAATTCAAGTTATACTATTTGTGACGATTGTAGTAAGCTGTGATATAATTCAAGTTATACTATTTGTGCGATAGTAGTAAGCTGTGATATAATTGAAGTTATACTATTTGTGACGATAGTAGTAAGTTCTGAGGTAATTCAAGTTATACTATTTGTGACGATAGTAGTAAGTTCTGATATAATTCAAGTTATACTACTTGTGACGATTGTAGTAAGCTGTGATATTATTCAAGATATACTATTTGTGACGATGGTAGTAAGTTCTGATTTACTTCAAGTTATACTATTTGTGACGATTGTAGTAAGCTGTGATATAATTCAAGATATACTATTTGTGACGATTGTAGTAAGCTGTGATATAATTCAAGATATATTATTTGTGCGATAATAGTAAGCTGTGATATAATTCAAGTTATACTATTTGTGACGATGGTAGTAAGTTCTGATATAATTCGAGTTATACTATTTGTGACGATAGTAGTAAGTTCTGATATAATTCGAGTTATACTATTTGTGACGATAGTAGTAAGTTCTGATATAATTCAAGTTATACTATTTGTGACGATAGTAGTAAGTTCTGATATAATTCAAGTTATACTATTTGTGACGATAGTAGTAAGCTCTATTCCATTTCGAACTTTTTTCTCTCTCAAGATCGGTTTCTAATTAAAATTTCAGGATTTGGGGGGGGGAACTGCCTCCCTTTGCCCCCAGGATGCTCTGTACATTATGTCCACAGGTATCAAGTAATTTTTATAAATTGTTTTTAGAAAGGTCCAAAGTAGCTAGCAAAGCTAATACGTGGAAGAAATGTAGCAGAAGGATAAGGCGCGTGAAAGTGTCTTTGTTTTTATTCACTTAATAACTCTCAGAAATGTTCCGTTTTTATCCGGTAAAGTGTTCGGAGGGATAAATTCGTCACAAAGATAAACCGTATAGGAAACACCCTCCTAGTTTTTCTACAGACACTTCGAATCGGTCAGTAAGTATCCAGTAAAATACACTTAATATTATAAAGATGAGACGAACGGAAATGCCAATTTTATTTTTATACACATCCAGAATCGTGAGTAAGTATCCGGTATTCTACTCGTGTACAACAACTATATTACAATTATAAGACGTGTGATAGTTTCTCGTCTAGTCTGTAGGAGTTGTATCAAATATAGAATAGTGGTCCATATAATATTATATTATATTTAATTTAAACTTCTTTGTGGTCCATATTTATCCGTTAAACTAAAAATATGAACAAACTTTACGACTAATATCGAACATAGGAACGTGTGCCATATAACATGCTATCTTATTTAATGTACATTTCATTGTGGTCCATATTTATCCGTTAAACTAAGAATATGAACAAACTTTACGACTAGTATCAAACATAGGAACGTGTGCCATATAACATGCTATCTTATTTAATGTACATTTCATTGTGGTCCATATTTATCCGTTAAACTAAGAATATGAACAAACTTTACGACTAGTATCTAACATAGGACGTGTTGCCATATAATATTGCTAATCTTATTTAGTGTACATTTCCCTTGT